CTTTTTTTTAAATTACTTTGAGAAAAAATTAATTCTAAATTAATTTTTTAATAATATCGGGCTAAAAAATTAACCCAAAATTGTTGGAGGAGAAAAACTATTTCTGGGTTAAAACCTAAATTTTCTGGATTAAAAATTTTAGGTTTTAACCTAAGATTTGGAGATGGTCTTAGTCTAGATAATATCCTTTGTTCAAAAATAATAATAATAATTGGTTTACATTATTTTTTTTTTTTGGGAAATGTTATTTGCACTAAAAACAATAGAAAGAAAAATACACTTGGTGGTTGGAAATTGAGATTTTTTTAGTGCAAATAACATTTCCCAAACTTGAAGTGCAAAATGAGAATTTGTTGAAATAACAATTTTCTTTTACTAAACTGAAACTTTATACAATTTATGTTCGTGTGAGTGACTCTCCTATTTATTGTTGATTTCTAATTGATAGGAATTTTCTTCTTAAATAGATATTTCATGTACATAAATATCCTTGTGCTTTTACATATATTTCCTCCTTGAGAGAATAATACAACACACCAATGCAAACTCTAAAACTCTCATATAATTTTACACTTTTATCTTGGTATCAGAGCAGGTTTCGCCCTATTTTTTTTTCCCAAAAAAAATATCTTATACCCAAGAAACTTATTCTTGTCGTGAAGCTTCCTTGTTGTCAGCCCCCTGAACTTGTTGATTGTCTCGTGTTTTGGACTTTAATCATACACAAAACCAAAACTTACATAGTGTCGCTTGGTGTTTTTAAGCAACACAAAAATCATAGTCATTGTTGTGCGACTTGTTCTTGGTAGTCGACACTGAAAATCTTAAACCTAAGCCTACTGCATCAATCCGCTGCAGCTATGTGCGAGAAGATAATATTGTCTCTTATTGATCAAGTACCTCTCTGATGATCGGAATTCTTCAAACCAAATTAGCGCACTACTGTATGTAGAGGTGATGCATAAATCCTTTTAACATGTAAAGAACAAACAACTATAAGTAGCCTAGGATTGGTAGTGTTGGCCAAAAGCTCTCCAACAATCAAGTTAGTAAAGACATATTTGAGACTCAAGCAATATGTAAGATAATAAATGTGCAAGAATTACGTTACCAGATATGAACCCTAGAAAAGTCTATTTACACCAGTCGAGATAGTCTTTTTATGGTATATAATCCATATCAAACGAAGAGAATCCCAGAGGATATCTAGGACTAGATATTGCATCCTATTAGGATTATTATTACTTATGTTGTACGTCAATCCTTAGATTGTATGATTCCAAGAATATAGGAAACCTAGCTTATTCCTTAGTAGATCAAGTTTCCATGTCTTATGAAACAAGCATGGCCAATCTTAGCGAAGTCCCACTGCTTCGAAACAGGATGATGATGAAATTATTGCTTTGTCAGTGTAGCTCCAATGCGGAAGCTGTTGAGTCAATGACCGAACTTTTGAGGTATTCATTTCCAAACTACCATATTTTAGCCATGGAAAATCATAGTCCCATAGGGATGATTCAGCAAATTTGGAAAAAGTCTTAATTGCTTCTAGAAATTTTTATCCTATTGGATATTGATTTTGGGGCTACTGAAAACATGTTGTATAACAAGTCTTTCTTTCAATCCATGATTCCTCGTCCAAAAGAGATTGTCATCACTGTCAATGAAGATGACATCTTAGTAACAAAGACTGGTTCTATTGCACTCACCCCATCTTTGTCCTTACACAATACCTTGCTTATTCCAGCATTATCTATCATCTTTTATCAATCAGTCAAGTTATGGAACAATTGGATTATATCATACTAATATTTTTTTTTTCTTACTTCAAGAAATATGGACTTGGGCTATAATTAGGCATGGTACTAATAAAAGGGGTTGTATTATGTCTACAATATGGCTCCTGACAGAATGAATCAAGTACATAGTAGGAATGGTGATAGAGTTAAGAAGATTTTGGTTGGCATCAATGACTTAGGCATGCCTCATTTGGCCATTTACAGAATTTGGTTCCGTATTATTTACTGGTATTTCAACTTCTAAACTAAAATGTTATGTATGTGCTCTAGTAAAGAGTCATTGAACCTTTATTCATTGAGTTCCACTGGAAGAACTGTTCTTTTTAAATTAGAGCACTTTGATTTATGGAGTCCCTCCCTCATTTCAACTTTACAAGGATTAGATGGTTTGTGTTATTTTTGGATGATTATAATATGATGACTTGGCTTTGTACAATGAAACACAAGAGCGATATTACTACAATTGCTAAGAATTTTCTTTAGATGGTTCATACTCAATTTTTGCTTCCTATTAAAGTGCTTCATTATGATAATAGGGTGAGTATATTAATGTTGAGCTGCCTCAATTCTTCCAAGAGCAAGACATCTTGCACAAAAGCACTTGTCCTCAAACACCTCAACAGAATGAGGTGGCAGAACGAAAAAAGTTGACATATTATTGCAACGATGAGGGCACTTCTCATTGAATTTGTTACTCGTTATCTTATTGGGTCGATGAAGTTACATATATGTCGTTTACGTGATTAACCGAATACCAAAGTGCTTGATTTTCGTACTCATGTGGAGGTGTTAGCATATCATGTTTCTTTGCCCTATTCCCCTAATCTCTCCTCGTATTTTTGGTTGTGTTGGATATGTTCACCTTCACAAGAATTAGCCTTCAAACCTAAAATGTGTTGTTTTGGGCTTTGCTCTATAACATAAACGCTACCAGTGTAGGGATGGCAACGGGGCGGATTGGGTTCAGATGTGCCATCCCCATAACCGAACATGTTTGTTTTCCTCGTACCTGAAACCGTAAAAAACCCAAATGGTTATTCCCCGTAACCGAACCCATTGGACAACTGATACCCCAGCGGCTGCTGCTTCCTCTCTTCCTCCTCATCCTTCGGTGGCTGCTGCCATAGGATGATACGTTTGCATGCTATAAATAAGTACCTACAACAGGATCTTGTTGCACATCTTTGGGCCAAAAGAACCATAGAGTAGGCGTTTAAGTTTTATGTTGTTAAATGTTTTGTTTAATGTTGTTTAAGTTTGAATAACTCCCCCAAGTAGTACTAGGGTGGAGATTGTGTTGTTTAATGTTGTTTAAGTTTCATGTTGTTTAATGTTGTTTAATATAAAGAGTACAACAACTTAAATGTAAAACCTACAACTTAAATTTAAAAACTACAACTTAAATATTAAAGACTACAACAACTTCAATTTAAAGACTATAATCATCATCATCTTCATCCACCATTGTAGGAGTATAGTTGGATGTAAACAACTCTCGTCGGGCCATAATTTCCCTCTTTTTCCTATCAAAATATGTCTTACTCATTGGAGTGTACTCTGAAGTGTTCCTTTGCATTTTCCTATCATCCATCTCTTCTTGTATTTGTTTTACCCGTTCTTCGTGCCTACGCTTCCTTTCTTCCGCGGCAATGGCATTTTGCTCCGCCATTAATCGCAATGAGGACGCCATTTCCTCTCGAAAGGCTAAATCATCTTTTGCCTTACCATTTTCCTTCAATTTTCGGGCATTGTTTCGTCCCGTAGCCCTAGGTATGGAAGATTCACCCGAAGACGGATTTGCTACCCTTGTTTCGTGAATGATAGGAGATCTTTGTTCATCCCCAACTGCATTTGAGGAAACATTTCCGAACACTGGCATAGGACTAAATCTTTCTTGAGGTGGATCTTGAAATAACACCCACCCTTTACAAATTTCTCAACAACCGTGATGACTAAATGGTTTTTTCATGTCCTCCATATACAATTCCTCTGCTTGGCGTACCTAGAAAATATAATTACAAAAATTAAAGGAAATTAATTTATGAAATTAAATGTAATATAATTAAAAAATTTAAATAACTTGTGAAAACACTTATTTCGTCGTAGTAATTGGCTCCGGTTTCATGTTTGATTTGGGTATTTAACACTGTTTGATGTCATTTATTCAAACTTGGTTGAAGATGTTTTTTCCATTTTGAAGAACAACTCTCATGGTTTCGGGGATTCGGTGGAGTGGTGCCTTCGTAGAATTCATAGTACTTTTTAGACATACGAGTCCAAACACCTTCACTTGTTTGAGAACTTCCCTTGACACTATCTTCCGAGACCCATCTATAAGCCCTGCAAAGAGCTTCATCTTCTTTTCGGATCCAATCCCTTCTTTTCATTGCAGATGTGGCCATTTGAAAATTATTGAAAATTTTGAAGGAAAGATTATTGGAAGAGGTAAAAGAATAGAATGTGAAGAATTGAAATAAAATGAGGTAAGATAGTATGGAATGATGAAAATTATGTGAGAAATGATGTAGGAATGGCTTAGGTATTTATGGGAAAAAAATTAGAATTAAAAAAAAAAATCAAATGTAACGGTAACCTAGCTTAGTTGAGGTTACCGTTACATTCGAATTGTTGGGCCTGGAGAGGGCTGGCTGGCTGGATGAGGCCAACTCACTGGTCTGATTTCATTTTTTGGTCCGATAGGGCCCACAAGTCCTTTGACCTAGCCCTCGATTGAATATCGTTTTCATGTCATTTCGAACTATTTTTAGCCCTATAACCTTTTGATTTGATCTGTTGAAGATGGCCTAAACAAAACAAAAAAAAAAGAGTTTTAACAAAACACTCTCAGTACTGTTCACTTTTAACGAAAAATCATATTTTTACCTTTAACTGATACTATTCATTATATTTTTAAAAAAGGAATTTTCGTTAAAACATGAGTTTTTTTTAACTTTTCATTAGTTTTCTTAAAAAAAATTTAAAAAAAAAAGAAAAAAAAGAAGAAAAGCCGTAAATTTTAATCTTCCTCCTCAACTTTCAATTTTATAACGAGCCATTAAAAAAAAAATTAATGAAAAAAGTTTGAAAACTTTGATTTTAACGATAAGGACAAAATAAATAGTAAAGTGAATAGTACCAGGATTGATTTTTAACGTAAAAATGTGATTTTTAAACGGAGCTTATTCGTTAAATTCCGTAAAAAAAATCCTGTTCTCTGTTTCCTAAATTTTGGTCATTCTCCTCAACTTTCAATTTTCTGTTGTGGAATTTCTTCTCTGGGTTTGATCTGCCGCTCACAACATCCTTGTAGAGGAATTCAGAATTCCGGTGAGGAAGAATAACAGAGAGAGTCATGAGTTACGTATTGCCGACATTGACGAAGAAGCAGGAGGTGGACTCCATCATCCGATCCACCATCGACAAAGTCCTCGTCCTCCGCTTCGGCCGCGCCTCCGATTCCGCTTGCCTTCTCCTCGACGACGTTCTCGCCAAAACGGCGCGGGAGGTCTCCAAGTTCGCCACGGTCGCGCTTGTCGATACCGATTCGGAGGAAATTCAAGTCTACGTCAGGTATTTCGACATCGCTCTGATCCCGTCTACCATCTTCTTCTTCAATGCCCACCACATGAAGATGGATTCCGGAACTGCGGACCACACCAAATGGGTCGGCGCGTTTCAGCAGAAACAGGACTTTATCGATGTTGTCGAGGCGATTTTCAGAGGAGCGATGAAGGGGAAGATGATCGTGAATTGCCCCCTTCCACCAGAGCGAATACCCAAATACCAGTTGCTCTACAAAGATGTGTAGAAGCTCTACACATTTAAGGTATTTCATTTTTCAAATTTTTTCGTTGTGGTGATTTTTTGTTACATTTCGTTATTGGTTATCAAATCAGATTTGGTTGTATGGTTTAATTAGTTTGGTATTATTTGAGATAATATTTGTTGAATAATTAGAATTTGAAGCGCATTAAGTTATTGGTTAGTCGAATTGTGCATTTGATTAGTTTCGTTTTAGAGATACGGGAATGATATACACACATTTACTGGCCGTTGTTTCTATTTGATTTATTTAATCCGCTGACAAATAACAAAGAGGAGCGTGTGAGATAAATGGGGTGTGTGAAAAGCACCTCCTTAGAGATAATATTCATTTTGCCAATCCTTATTAGTGAGCATTAATTTGTGGATTTGGATTGTGGGTTCTTCTTTCGGAGACAACTTGGTTAATAGAGAATCAGTTACTTGAATGTATTTTGTACGTCCAAATGAGGAGAGAGGGTAAGTTCATAGAACGGATTCACTGCCACAGTGGAGTTCTGGCATTGTATTATTGAACCGGGACTCAGTGACAGTGAACCCATGCCATTTAAGTCCTTCTTCTAAATGAGAGTAGGAATCTGTTACTGATTTGGGAGCTCGAGTATCCTTTTTTAATTGAGTCCCATAAATAAAATAAAGTTGATCAGATATATACTTAATCAGAATGAAGTGCAAACTGCTGTTTTTCAATTGTGAATTTGATCAAAGAAAATTAACTGGTTTTCTTCTGGAAGTTTGAAATTTTAGTTCTTGTTATCTGGTGATTTGTTTGTGTATGTGATTTCACTGATTTGGTTGCTTGACAAAGTCGTATCAACAGTTTTCTTTATGTTTGTAACTCAGGCTTAACTCTTTATGTTTGTAACATAGGCGTGACTCTGTATCTATTTGTAATATAGGGCCTTTTATCCACCATGAACTGTAATTGTGTGTCGGTGGTATGAGCAATGGAGCCATAGAATTCTTAGAGTATTTAATGATTATGCATTGCTAGGAACATTATTATTCAACATTTAGAGACATGATATTTGTGCGGAGTTGCATGCAGACCTACACAGAGATTTGAGTCTCCGTGCGCTTGAGATTTGAAAGATACACAGTATGATAAAATCTTCAAAAAGGATGGAATAATCCACACTACTGTGCAACTTTGGTCAGCTAGTGTCCTAAACACTTAAGGTGTTAAAACTTGAAAAGTAGAAGATGTGTATGAATTCCCGAATAGATACAATGAGTTGTTTATGTAAGATAGAAGGCTTTTTAACCACTCTGACGTTGCAAGATACTGTTATGCAGTTTTTGGTTGGTTGATGGAGCAATAACCTTCTTTCGCCTTATTTTCGGGTTGTCTTCTTCAGTTCTCTTATTTGTAGCTTTGGCACACTTATTAACCTCAAGGAATTTTTGTTCTCAGCCATGTTTGATTTTCTGGAAAAATTCACTGCGGACGAAGGAAGCAGGGGTTGATGGTCCTACTACATGGTTTTGCACCAGGAAAGGCGAAAGACATTGGTGAAATTTTTTTGACATGGCCATCATTTTGAAGTTCTAGAGCATGATATGTAACTCCATTTGCACTAGTCCTAGATTTGGTAGTCCTAACAGGAACTGTAAGTCACTGGACTCACAAGAGTCACCAAATCTAGATTGAGTGCTGTTATTCGTATCCATCGGTTCTATTTTCCGATTCACCTACTCATGAAAGTCGTCATGTGAACGAATTTGATATGTAAACGATCAATCTAACACTCTTTCCAAGTGTAATTTGTGGTGTATTTCTACATGTTCATAGTAGAGAATGACTTTTCTTGAAATCTAATAACAGCTAAAAAGAAAAAAGTATGGTGGATATAACATACTTTCCTACATAGCTTCTGGAGTCATTTTGCTTTTTAACGGAAATCCAACTCGTTTGTGTAGGGTGCTAGTTAGATTGAAATTTTTCGTTATGCATCCAAAAAAGACTGGACGGACACTGTAAGCATATTGAGATTTTGAAGATTCCGACTAGTTTAAGGGGTTTGTGCACCTCCACCACTCACGGCAGTGCACGAATTTGATTCCAACGACAGTTTTTCACACTTTATAAGACTCTTACCAAGTGAATGAAGAAATAGACCGAGGAGCATAATTGGGCCTAAACTAATATACAATTAATTATCAACTTTACAAGACTTTTACAAAGTGAATGGAGAAATGGATCGAGGATAACATAATTGGGCCTAAACTAATATATAATTAATTATTTCAGATTTAATTAATTAATTTTTACATCAAACCTATTGCGAACAAGCATATGGGTATTATATATACATCCATCTGCATGTCATTTAGAACACATAAAAAATGAATTCTCCTTCTGAAATACTAAAACCTTCTTGCTGAGAGAACCATAAAGATATTCGCCAGAAACAAAGTTTTTCGGTGCTAAAATTCTGGTTTGGTCATTGTATCATGATGAAGCAGATGTCCATCGAACTACAAACATTTGAGTAGGGACGAAATTCTATTTCAATGATATTGCGATACGCAAGCCTCGATCACTATTTTTACTTGTTTGATATTATTTTCATTTTTCATACTCTGTCAATATACTTAGTTGTAGTTAATTAATTATTAGCATATGTGAATTTATTTATATATATTTATCATTAATTGTTGATACATATCCAACACTTTTTGTCATCTCATAGTTTAACGTCAATTTCGTGCCAACATTATAAAATATTATGTCAAAAACATAAGTTTCAGAAAGTCCATAGAGAGTTCCGCTTTAAGAGTCGCCTTTGTATTTGGTGGAAAGGAACCAGATAATGAGGATTCACGGTTGCTAACAATTGCGTATGCGCAGAGTTTGCAATTAGTTGCTTCTGCATAGGAGTCATAATGGGCGTTTAGTAACCAGCAGAAAACAACTGAAAATGTTAAGGAAAATCTACAATCAACTGCCAAATGTTCCACAACCTCAAATTGTGAAATGCAACCAGAGTTCAGAGTGATGAAAACTGTACACAAAAGTGCTTTTTCTCTGTTTTGGCGGAAATGCAACAAAAGCCGATGGTTTAACGAGCTATGACCAGGCGCTTCTTTGATTGACAGAACTACGTGGAACAAACTGTGATCTCCCACCGGCTTGTGATGAATCGTTAGCAGAAAAAGGTGCGTAACGTTTCCAATATTCCTGTTGGCCTTGGCCACGACCACCCTGCTGCTGGCCTCTGCCGCGGCCATGACTATGACTTACTTGTGAACTCTGCCAAGAATGGTTTGTGTTATGTCCGAAACTATTTCTAGATGGCCAAAAAGCGTTGTTCGCTGGTTGTCCTCTTGCCTTTGGCCTCCAAGCTTGGCTTGGCTCCGAAATCTTCAAATCCTTAAAGCCTTGTGTTCGATCTCCAGAAACATAACCAACTGCCCTCCACTTATCATTAGAGACTGATCTCCCTTGAAAAGAGACTCTTTTGTAGTCTGTGGAACCCATGGCTGAATATGAGCTAGATGACATTACTCTTTCGCCAGGTATTCCTCGAGGAGCATAAAACCGTTCTCCAGAATTAGGATTAGCAACTTCTTTCCCTCTACCACAACCCCATCCAGAACCTGCAAATTTGTGTATTAAATCCGTAGAGCTAGAAGTGCATCTAGCATTGTTCTGGAAGCCTCCATACCTCTCCTGGAGCCGGGTGCTGCATTGCATTTAGTTCTCTACCGAATAAGTTAAAGAGAACAGGCAGTACACATAAATAAGAGAAACAAATGGAGAAGACCGGAAGCAATAAACCGATTGACCTGGAAGTGGTGGTGGTGGTAGGTGCGCTTCCCTGATATTCATGCCATAATTTTGTCTCCATAAGGTCATCCTCAGTGATTGTCTGCAAAAGAATATGAACAGAAAATTTGTCATTTCATTCAAACGACTACCGAAACAATCTAAGCTTGTCGCATGCTAATTAAGTTGCATAATATATAACATAGCATATTGATGAAGAAAAATGATGCCACTTTAGTTTTGAACTAAAAGATGCATCTGGAAACGTATAAATAAAAGTTCCAAAAAAAACATAAGATCAGAGGTAGAAAAACAGTTCGATTTAATACCTTACTGGGATGCTTTACACCATCAAGTAAACGAGGCATATGTGGATCACTATTGGGAAGCTCGTATAGCATGCAACTGCAACAGGATTAAATTAAAGAGACGATAACATATGACAGTAACGTATTGAGCAGAACGAAAGATACAAGTCATTTGCGTTTTTGACTTACACGACATGGTCTTCTTGAAGCTTGTAATCTCCTCCTTCACTCATGGCAGCATCAAGACGACGTATGGTGCCACCTACTCCAAAACTGGAAAGGCGTAAAACATGAAAAAAGGGTAAAACAATCCAGGAATAGTTCAGTCCAAACAGAAGAAAAAAGGGTAAAATAACAAAGCAATACTACAGCAAAACAATTGTCCTACCTCAAACTAGTGTCAATCTTGATAGACCAACTTTCCTTGCTAGATAGTGACATAATTTGTGACACCAAATTGTGTGTTCTTCGCACAAATAATTGACCAGGTTTTTCTGTATTTCGATCTCTTTCGTCCCCCTACACAATGTAAAATAAGCTTGGAAGACATTTCGAATAAGGCAATAACTCTCAGATACTTGTGTAGACGAATAAAAGAATTTCTGTACCACCAGTTCTTTGTCTAACTTTTTAGTCTCAGACAGAAGGCGTTCCTCTTCAATAAATGGAAGCTTGCAAATACCCTTGGATGATGATCAAAACCGATTACCGAATAAATAACAGTAATTTGAATAATGGTGAGTAAATTATAAAATAAAATAAACAAAAGCTAAGAAGGCAACCAAACCTGCCATGTGAAGCGTTTCCCATCCATGTCGATTTCAAAATCTACGAATGAAACAGAAGCTTGTAGTTACTTCTAGGAAATCCCCTTGATATAACATTGTTGAGATTACAGAATAGGACTTACCAGTAGGATAAAAGTCAATAATGCCGGAACTCTCTTCAGTCATTAGTTTCTGATAATCTTTAGGAAGTGCATGAGCGCTACAAAAAGGAGAACATTTGTCTTATCATAAGACTCTTATGTTCTAAAGAACTTAGGAAGACCAAACTTGCAAAGTAAGGGAACAATAAGGAAAATAACAGAATTACCTTCTTGGAGGTAACACAGCCATGAGAGTATCAATAGGCTTAAAAGGGAAACCTTTATGAAACTTCGCTTTCACCTGACCGAGGCCCTTGAGGTCTGAAGCAAATGGCCCGTAATGGAAAGGATAAAACCTGAAAGGATGTTCCAGAGAAATAATTTAGTATCATTAGTTTTCATATCAGTATCTAGTAGCTATGTGAAGTTCATATTACGTAAATGTCTTACCATGTCCATGATGGGGGCTCCGAAAAATAGTACAATAAAACCCAGAGCAGTCCTTCAGTGTAGCATTTAACCTATAATTATATCAGCAATTGGAACTTTCAAGTAAGGGGAAGCTTTAAAAAAGAAGAAAGGTCTCTGAAATACACAGGGACAAAATAAACTTCAATGGAAGTAAACCCGGTATAATAACGCTAAATCACATCAAAAGTTTTTGTAGCTTTTACAAAAACTCCTTGGAATGGAAGCAGCAGTTTGTTGAAAGGGGAAAAAAGAACCATGGCAATTAGACATACTACTTCCTTCCTTTTCCTTTCAATATCCTCTGGACCTTCTGCAGAAAATTTGTATTTGTAATATCTTTCCTTATAGCCTCCCACAGCGAATCGGACCTGTAGGAGTGTTGATCAAGCATGTAAAACTCAATTTTTGAAGTATGGTTTGATGTAAATGGTTCACAAGAAATTATGAGAAAGAATATTGGAACGTCATACCTTGTCAGTCCCCAAATCACCATTCTTGAACAGATCAGATTTCCTTCTGATGTTATCTTTCAATTTTTTCTTCAACTCCTTTGTATTTCCTACAACCTGAACAAACACCGCATATATATACATGTATAAACGAGACCATCAACTTTTAAGCATGCCAAAAAAAATAGAACCAAAATACTTTACCACATGTGTATAATTAAGCATATAGTGTATGCATATAAAACACTATACCCCGAAAATTACATCATAGGAAACCTTAAGGGAACAAACGTACTTGAGAATGCATAATGTCAGACGTTCCATCTGACCAAACTTCCAATTCTTCTCCACTGAGGAATACCTGATTATTGCTCGAACCAGTAATTGTACTTCTAGTATCAACTTCGTCCTCTAGCTGGCAAAGCATATGCAATTAATGCAGCATGTAATTCATAAGCAGAACATTTATTAGAACACTACACACAAATGTGTCACAAATGTCTGCCAAGCACTCACAGAATCATTATAATAAACAAAGACGTCTCAGTTTACGGTCACGTAGTTCTGATCTTTTCTTGAAAATTTTGTCTTCATAAGAACCAACAAGAAGGATGAATTTCTCAACTCTGGATAGCTTGATGTACCCTGATTTCTTGTCATTGACCTGGATTTGTGCATATAAGTGGCATGAGAAGATGGCATCTTGTCGACATTGATATTCATTTTTTTTTGTTGTGAAGAAGAAAATGAAAGTGATATGAGGCTACTCTCAATGTTTATACCCGGAGCATATCAACCATATAACCACCAAGATTTTTTAGTTCTTTCTTATAGACAGTCATCAGCAAGTCAATTGCACCCTGGACACAATATATATTATTGGCGTGTAAAATAATAGTTCCGGTTTACATACTTATGTTTGTTATTCATCTACATCACAAAACAAAGGGCCATAAAGAACAATGAAGTTTACAAAGAACCTCATG